TCAGAAATACTCAAAGATATAACTGTGACACCCTAAGAAACCGGCAGCATAACGGCACCCATTTATTTTATATGGATGATCTCAAACTTTATATCTTTGAAGAAAATGATTCCAGTAGTTCTTGAGGGTGGTGGAAGAGTACTCGAATGCTATCGGTATGAAATTCGGGATAGACAAATTTGCAATGGTCGATTTCAAAAGAGGGCCATGCGGGGACTACGGATAGGATGTGCAGCTTGTAGATGAAAGCATGCTCACCATATAAATGCCGGAGAGATATATATATACTCCGGGGAGGAACGAATTCACTAACAAAAGTTAACAGCAGTATCAGCACAAACTCCGACAAATCTGGTCATCCGAACTGTCTGGAAAAAGCAAAGTCGCTGCTACGAATATTCTCGCCGTTCCAATCTTACTGTACTCGTTTGGAGTAGTGAAGTGGACTCGGGAGGAGCTGTATCAACTCGACGTAAAGAGCCGAAAAATAATGTATCTTGATGGAAGGATGCATCCCAAATCGTCCGTTCCACGGTTGTACTTTTCCCGACAACAAAGAGACCGTGAACTTCTGAATTTGGAGTGTCTACATGACATAATAGTATTGAATGGACCCTGTAAAATCATCAGGAGTTCGGTCTATAGGGCAGTTATATGAGCGGCTTATGAACTCGGATCAGTTTTCGTCACTGAATGAGGTGATCACAACGCTGTCACCAAGATGGTCCAGCAAAAAGCCCATATAAAAGCTGCAGAAATCAAGTCACTCCTGCGGCAACAAATCTCGATGAACCGGGCAGACTCTATTCAGACCACTGTGTGAATATTGTTGTTTTGATTATTGGAGTCTTGGGAGAATGATTCCCTCTCTACGCTCAACTCTCGGTTAAGCCGGCTTGCCATCTTATCCGGACAAATGCAGATAGCTCTCATTCTTGGCTCGTGTCTGATTAGGGCACATTATCATCGGGCCCAATGGTCACTCAGCTCATGGTGTGGGGAGTGGTCATTGGTTGATGATACTGGTGAGCACTCTGAATGTATCAGAGCTTCGGAGACAGGGCCCGACCTGCACAACTTGTTTCGACGCATTGAGCCAAGAATGACGTCGTTCTGCATTATTATTATTATCATCGTCGAATGGGTAGATCTTATCGAAAACATGGTAAAAATAATGAAATTTTCTATAAAAGGTCATAATGTGTAATTAAAATATATAGAAACAAAAATAACTGAGGTAAAATATAAAATGAATATATACAGAGTCCTGTCATAAAAATGTTTTGTTGAACTCAATAAATTATTGTGTAGAAAAAAAACCTAGATAAACCCGTTAAAAAGAGCCTGTTCTCGAAAGAAAAGCCTGGGTAGGTAAGGCGATATGATATATCACCTTACCAAGGCGCCATCTATGAGATAGACAAAGGATTCCATGCAATATCGAAAATAAAACCAGGCTTCCAGAGGCGGTCACATGCAAAACCAACCTACATCGACCGCCGGACAAGATTCATCCTCTGTCTTTCATAGCAGCTTTCACTGCAAGGCAACTAGTTGAAACCAGAGCCCAAAAACAAAGCATTCTTAATAAAACACCAGACAGCGCTGTTTCGACTCGCCATTAATATTACCAGGCATATATTCATGAATTGAGTTGTTTTTTGTCGGTTACATTCATAGGGAAATTTCATATCGCCCCTACGTATTCAGGCTTGTCCTTTAGGGATGGTCGTTTTTTTTGAGTAAGTATATCTATTAACGTGTTACTTTTTTAATAAAGTAATTTATAAAATTCAAAAAACATATATCACATAGGAGTTCCTACCTTCGTAAACATGAAACGTAGAGAAGTAATATAATACATATAAATGCACTTTGCTTATTATTAACTATATTCAAGAATAGGTTATGTTTAATGAGTAAGGTTGTTCGGATCGTCGGAATATAAACTTTGAAATCGGAGGATTCCATATTTAGCAAAACTTCTGGAAAAAGCCAACAAGTTTTCTTTATCAGCTTCGTTAACGCCCAATAACCTTTGATTATTCTTCTTGAGTTTTTGATCTATACTATCTAGTCTTTACCTATTTTTATTGATACTATTTACATTGGTTTCAACTAGTTTATCCATTGAATCCATTCTCTGACAGAACTTATCAAATTTTTCCTCTATTTTTCCCAACTTTTGTTCAAACTGCTCTTCAATTTTGGCCATTAACTTTTCACATACCTTGCTTATTATTGCTTCCATTGCGATTTCATCTATCCTTTGCTGGCCCGAGCGAGTATTCACATTCACCGGCATGGCCCACGTACTATTATGATTGATGTATCGAGTTTCACATGAGAAGAAATGATCACAAATAATAGTTTTCAAGTGGAAAATTTCTGCCCAAACTCACTTTCCAATGATTTATACACTGTTAACTTTTGAATTGGATGATTTTTTAATATTTTTAGACTTCAGAAATACCTCCAAACTAACAAATTTCACAGGAGCGTTCGAATACGTTCGCACGTGCTTGCTGCTCGACATGCCCACAAATATTCACCACAAATACTTTGATCAGCCAGAGATCTAACAGAAATGTTCCCTGGTGGAATACAACAAAGCTGAAAAAAAATCAAAGCGAAATTCAAAAGATAATGCGAGGAGGTCGAACAAACCCAAGTATGGTCCAGACCCTACAAGATAATCTCTAAGGGACTTCAAATCTCAATAAATTATCTAAAAACAACTACCAGGAAGTACACAAAAACAGGAGGAGAAACTAAACTATAGGAGGACTTCTTCGGATTCATTTCTACGGGTCATAATTTACAAATCTAAACATTGTCAGAACTGACGGAGATATGCAAATTCATTGAGATCAATATGCGTACAAGTCAGGTACGGTTCATGTCAGTTCACAAAAAAGCGGAATATGCTTATAAGAACTAGAAATTCAAGAAACACCTCATTGTGAGATTTTCTCCAAACAGTTGTACAAAAACGCAACACTTGTTTCGCTATACAATAGCTTATTCAGGCGTGTATACACACGACGCAATTCTTGAATACGTAATGGATTTTCATTAAGTATCGGCTGATTCCATCACATCTCAAGAACAAGGTAGTATTTTTAACTGCTTTCTTGGTTATTGGATGTGCTTTTGATGATACAACCTTAAAATTAATTATACAAGCGTCAAGAAGAAGAGTAGATATACCGCGTGCTTGTAAAATGACACGAGCATTATTGAGGAAACAGTAGTGGCACGGGTAGTTAAGGGGTTATCCTCAGGAGGAGGTGTTTTGTTCCCACTTGTAATCCTATTTCAGAGCAAATATAATAGGTTCGTTCCAACCAGCGTCAGAAACAGTTTCTGATAGTCAGGATTCTGCGCAGTAATGTGATTGTGTTCCAACATGAGTTTCCAACCATTAGTAAACTATCAGTTTTCTGTTCCATCCAAGATTCAAACCTGTTCGAAATCTATCAGAATGGTTTGAGGATTATCTTCTAACCATCAATCTGACGCATGCGTATTCCGTCTTACTGTTTCTGATTCCCAAATTATTTTTAAAGGTTATGTTGAAATTCCATGCCAAACTTCAGTTGAACTATCAGCTGTTCCAATCAGAAATTTCAAATTAATCAGAAACCAATATTTACCAGACATGCGCGTTGACAACGATTTACAAACAGTTGGAAATCTGTTTGTGACTTAAGGTTGGAACGAACCTAATATTATAATGAGGAGACACATGCAGCAGGCCAAAAAAGAACGGGTTAACATAACTCTACCCAAATCGATCATAGAACCATTCACCAAATGAACAAAGATAGAGTGATTAGGACCTGTACAACTCCGAGGTGAAAATATATTACTGTCAGAGAAAATCAAATATTTGGTATTCCGATGAATCAATTACCAAATATGGAAAGGAGCTGGAATATGTTGTGTAGGAATAACTTTACATTTTAACCAACTGCTCAGTCAAGACACATCCCTCTGTAAAGCGGAAGTGTAAGCAATTTCGCAATTCGCAAAGAATGTCAATTCGAAACCTCAAAAAAAATGACCGGATCAGTATTCTCAAAGACAGTCAGGCTACATTCGGGACCACAAAAACCTATGAGCGAATCTCTGTTCATATGCAGTAACATTAATCTTTCACTCATCATTTTTTTGAAAAATGAAGTTTCATCAAAACTGTAAATTTACATTTTCTAATGAATTCATCGTCTATCAAAAATATAAATTGTTTTTGTCGACCTTCTTTGGGGGGCATTTTCACCTTCCACAATCTGAAAAATATGAAAATTTTAATGTGTAGACGTGTAGATACGGCAAACTTTAAAGTCATCCCGATGAGTTTTTTCTTCGCTAGTCGATAAAAACAAACTTCCCTCTACAAAAAATGACTTTCGTTCAATATCAATTGCTTTCAGCTTCATTTCTGATAAAATTTCTTCAACTTCGTATCTATTGTTGCGTGAGGAAAGCAGCAATACTAGATACAAGAAAGTGTGCAGTTCTTGGATTTGTATATAGTGAACAATGATGGAAGCTGTTTAGAATGTACCTATGTGAAATTATCTGGTATTCTTCATACTCACAAGTTCTAAAAACTTGTGGGCATTTCTCATATGACATCTAAGAATGTTAACTCCTAAAGGAGCTCTTCCGAAGTGAAATAATTTTTGGAACTGCAAAGAAAACCTAATTTTCAGGAAACAAGGATAATGATGACTAGATATTTTTACAATAGGCATATGTCTCTTGATTTTGCTATTGAAAATAAATCTGCGTGTTTCAGTACTGTTGTACTAACTCCTGATATTCATTCTGCAATGTTCGCATTTTCATAGTTTATAAGACTGACTTGACTGAATTATTCAGAGTATTTTGATGAATCCAATATTTTCAAATTTCGTCTGTTGAGAATTATTGAAATTTCTCGTATATACAACTATTCGATAGGATTGAAAAACAGGAATTTCATTTTATTTCAGGTGATAATGGGCGATCGTGCATCTGCAGAAAGAGCGTGTAAAGATCCCAATCCAATAATAGACGGAAGGAAAGCAAATGTAAATTTAGCAATATTAGGAGCGAAACCAAGAGGAAATATTCCAACTGGTTAGTATGTTAATATAAATAAGGTGTAACCGCAAATCCATATTGATATTACCATTCATTGATGATATTTTTGAAAATCAACGTTATTTGCAAAGAACCATACTCTTTAATGGCAAAGAAGTGAAAACGCAGAATTATTTTGCGAACAAGCAACCAACCACAAGAGCTGCAATACTCTTATCGTCGCACGTTTCATCAAGCAAGTTGGTATAAACTACAGTCTACTTCATTTTCTGAAGATAAGTTTGTTTTAACCCGTTACATTTGGTTAGATTGTGATTGTACGATACATCACATGATTATTGAATAAAAGCTGTTCCAACCAAAAGTTGACAATACTTGGTACCGTTCATCAAGCGATCCAACCAAACAGTGGACGATTCAGAAACCGATTTCGGTTTCGTCATTTCGATACTTGCCTTCGAGTAGAAATCGCTTGAATTGACTTGCGCAGTTCATTCATTCTCTTCATTCATCTTTGTTCTTTATCAGATAATGCTTTTTTGACTATTTTGTTAAGTGGCACATGCGCTCAACGATGCAGTGTACAGTTTCAGAATGATACAAAAACCGTGGAACAAACCTGATGACAACTTGGTTGCTGATACGCGCGTCGAGACGACTGTTGTATTTCTGGTGTTTGGGAGCAGTGCTTGTTTTGAACTGACTATAAATGAAGTAGTGATGGAATCACCTTTCATGAAATTTTATAAAAATATATAATAACATTCAAATGTAAACTGATTCTCATGAAAAGGAATAATTACATTCTGCAAATAAAAGCTGTAACAAAATTTTTGGGTCTGCATATCAACATGAGTCTGAATACTTTAGCGAGCGTATATTTCGAAAGGGAATCTCGAAACATTCATGTCTCCCAACGTACCTCTACAGTAGATTCTGGTAAATCCCTGCCAGAAAACAATTACTTCTCTGGCGGATATCACGATGGACGTTGAATAATATTCGACAAGCATTTACGCAAGATACCTCACAGTTTATTAGTCGATACAATCATCAGAATTAAAGTATTGCTACATGGGATGTTTTTCCCGTTTTTGAAGCTTTGTTCACAAGATGGTGCTGATTATATATACATATAGTCCAGTCGCGTTTGGGTCAGTCAAGTCCCGGGAACACTGATGTTTGGGTACGATCTTTCCTGCACTGATAAGAGATAATATTTCGAAAGCGGATTGTAGGTGACCTACTCAATTGGTTTCAGCATGGTCCTGCTGCTGAATTACCATCAATTATCTGTTAGACTATCCTTTGTGTATAAATCTGTGTCGGATATTCCAATATCCATCGTGGTATTAGCCAGAGCAGTAGTTGTTTTCCGGCAGGCATTTACCAGAACCTTCTGTGTAGGTACGTTATTAAAGATGAATGTTTCGAGGTTTCATTTCGAAATATTGATTTTCTTATATATATCGATGACAAACTTATATTTAGGGACCATATCTTTAAGCTAAACAAGAAAGCAACGAGGTGCTATGTCAGGAAAAAAAACGAAATTTGTGTGAAATAAATATTAGAATATAGGCTTTCATGGGCGAAGCCACGATAAGAGACAACAAAATCCGGGTTGGTAGGCCGTGGTCAATTGGAACCTGAAGTACCAAACGTTTCGTCTGTTACTGCGCACACAACACTGATGAACTTTTGATAAACTTTTTGGAACCATTGGTGTAGTAATGAATATTACTGGAATTTTTTCCCAACACCAAATCGTTATATTAACACCTCAACACGTGTTTCGATCACCAAGTGATCATCTTCAAGAGGAAGATTAAACTTTAAAGTCAGTTGATACTGAATTATGTAAGAAAATTTTCCAATCGTCATGTTTTTGGTGAAGAAAAGCAATAATTGTGTATTAATATCTACTCAAATGATAAAAACGGTTTATAGAGAACACTTCGATTTGTTGTAAGAAATTAGCATTATGCAATTATTGCGTTGATATTCAGATACTTCAGTTTTTCTTAATTATCTCAGAAACTTTTACTTTTAGAAACATAGAATATTATGACTTTTAGGTTGAGCCTAACTTATGTCAAACGCTCATTTATCAATTCAGTTTTCCAAAGAAAATTAGTTCAAATAATATAACGAATAAAAAAAAACGGAGTTTGTCAGTCTCATTCTGACTTACCTGTACTATGTTATGAATACTCAGGAGGTTGACAATCATTCCTATGTTATAAGAAAGTTGGATCACGAGATTATTGCACACAGGATGTTATGTTCTCTTCTCAGGATATATCTTCATTTTTTCGCAAATATCTCAGAAACCTTCACTTTTAAGCAAATGAAGTGTCATGACTTTTAGGTCGAGTATTGATGAGCCAAACTGATGTCAAACGCTCATTTGTCAATTCAGTTGTCCAAAGAAAATATGAGGGAAAATATGACCACATACCATCGTAACTACGCCACTGGTTAACAAAAATTTAAAATAATAACTTCAAATTTTCGCGGTGATAAACCTTGATCAGTGTACCAAGTTTGAAATTATTTTCTGTGGGAGTTTCAGAGAAAAAAAACAAATCTAAATTTTTTTCATACTTTTGACACCCTCTATCTCAGAGGGGATGCATTTTAGAGCATACTTTGAAAGAAACTTTTCATCTCAAAATGAGGCGAATGAGTCGGAGTCTGTCGGTATTATTCTGACTCACACTGTATAAAACGCATCCGATATTATCTGATATTTGAAAATATTCGTTAATTCGATGAATGTATGTGATATCGATATTTCTCCGTGCTTTTGACAACCGCAACCTTCCGACCTGATGTCCAGGTGTTCAAACGAGAGTATAGTTCACCAAGCACGGGCCACAGACAGCAGTAACATGGATTCGTAGTCACCCTTCTTCCGGTAAACCCGGACATCCGCATATGTCGCACGACTAGCGAACCAACAATTCGTTTAGATATCGGACACTTTTTACCTGGTAAAAAATGTCATTAGTACGGGTGCTTTTGCCAAACTACCTTTTAGTCTGAAGGCTACTGATCAATGTGTGCAGTGATTTTTCCTTTTTGTAGGTTTTCCATTCCCAAGCGTAAGGGCAGGAGCATACCCAACTCTTCTCCCAAGCCAGTATGGGTAAGTGAAATAATTTCATAACTTTGTGAGTCCTTGCACATCCTGCTGCATCACCAACAATATTTGTAATGAATATTTCATATTTTCTAGCTACTTTTGTCATGAAGGCAGTTGGTGATTCGTAAATCCATTGATATGTATTGAATTTGGCTGAACATTGAGACGTATCCCGAAAAACGACTCAAATACTAAAATGTAAACAGTTAGTTTCTTCGATGAGTGTTTGTGAGTGTGCGTGTTAAATTTTATTTTTGATTAGTATTGAGTTACACTCTTAAACAATTAGCAAGCGCTCGCAGGTCGTTGGCGAAATCCCCAGGTATTACTATCACCCAGCCATCCTTGATCGATGTCATGTTCTGAATGATATTTTAGCAGCTTCGCATTCATGTATATTAACTTAAACTCCAATTTTTGTCCTTAAAACATGTAACATCTTTCGTTCTTGTTTAATCAACATTATTGTTCGACTGATTTTTCAATAGAATGGAAAACTGATGTTATATGTAATGTTAATTATAATGTGTAATTGCTAGAGCGGTAGGAGTGTTATTATTGAGGCAATACGCCTCAATACTTTTGTCAAAAACAACTCCAGTGATTTTGAATTGGAAAATTTATTGAAAATTTTGGTCCAGTTTCTACATTTGACTGATAACATAAATAGAAAAATGGGGTAAAATTAAAATTATCTAGCAAAGAAGTCAGTCATCACATTCATAATCAGATCGATATTTGTTTGAATGTGCCTGATAATGTCTGTTGGGCTTTGTCTAAAGACAGTAACAGAATTCACACCTAAGACAAAATAGATAAAGCAAATATTAAACAAGAGTGTTAGAATGGAACTTTTCGGAAAAATTAGTCAAAAATAAGAATAATATCTAAAATATATAACTATGGTGTGACTGAAGTTTTGCAATTCACCCAGTTTTTGTCGTTATTTAGAAAATCTTTAGAGACAGATTGAGATTTTTTCAATAGTTTAGTCTTGGCTTTTTTTATAATTTACATGAATACGGATTCCTAAAACATCTACTCAGTTATGATAATTGAATTTTAGGATGATCGGGCTACATCCAACAATACGGTTTTCATGAGGTTGCTACATAATCATCGACATATATTTCAATGTTTTTCTTCAATATGAACAAATATTGTTTTGATGATGAAATGGACTATGTTGATTATTACCTAAACATCACCAGTGTAACCGTATTCTTGGATGGATGAAAATCGACTCACACTAACGGCTATGCGAGCGTTATTTTTTTGCACGATGTCCGCCAACCGGTAGCTTATTCAGACTTACATCTCACTTTTTAATGAAAAACACATCTAAGTACAAAATCAACTGAAATAATACTTTCATCATTTTTTTCAATATCCCCGTCAGTCAAGTATTTATTTGTTTACATAAAATTATGTTGAGAAACTGTATAAATCGTTCATACATTATGTCCTAAATAAAATAACTTAACCGGATAGAATGTCTTGATCCAATTCAAATTCAATTATTTTGTTGAGTTCATCAATCAGATCAGGAAGGGGGTATGTTGTGATTTATCTTTTGAAAAGACATCAAATTTGCTCAAATAATAAGAATATATAGACTTTATTCATTCAAAAACAAAGTAGTGTTGCAAGAATGAATAGATGAAAGGTGTAGTTCGCCCTGCGCCATTTTGGAATGTATATATCTACCTATATAATTACATAAAACATATATGCACAGCAAAAAGTGCATTCATTTGTATTTGTTAATGAAGTGTGTAAAATTATACTATATGACACAACTCAGCACTCAGCACACAAATACAAAGCATATTAATAGCGCTTCGATTTCAAAGTTCAAGCTACGTATCCCCAAGCAATTGAATTTCAATCATTTCACTGGACCTCGTATTCACAAATAGGTTCATAAGGAAAAAAGTTTTTGAACAGTTGAAAATTCTACTTTATGTTCAGTAAATTAATTGATGAATATGTTCCTTGCTTTTTTATTCGATTAAAAATGAATTATTTCATCATGGAGAGAGTGAGAATTATTAAATTGTAGTTTATAGAGAAATGAAGTGAAAGAGTTACGACAACTTTGTTTAAAGGGGAGCATGCAGATAAACATTTAAAGCATGGTTACATTCTTATTTCAGTAGGAAAATTCAGACAGACGATACTGGTTCGGTGGCAGATAAAAAACGGATTATTGACAATCTTTTGAGAAATGGGGCACTAGAAATTATTTTCTGAGTCAAGTTGCTATGAATCCTGAAATTTTTTGGTAATCACATAATTGGACCATTTTTTACTGGTAAATTTAAACGGAGACTTTTGCGACAGTTTCTAGATGAAACGTTTTGTGTAGATGGAAGATTGGGGAAAGGGTTGCTATCGAATAATAGGCAGAATCACCAGATTCATATTTTCTCGATTTCGTTTTTAACGTTCAATAATATCACACATAACAGATGAAATAATTAAATTTTTGGGAACCCGCAGATCATATTCAAAAAACAAATTCAATGCTCTCTCAAAAGACGTGTCAGAACATACCCCTCTCTATGAGAACAAATAAATGTGAAAGCCGTTCCCTCTAAGGATTTCAAGTTTCAGTAGTCGAATTAATGTGTAAATATTTCACCCTGAAAACAAAAGTTTGAAAGTCCGAGATTGTTTTTCATATGAGTATACTAAACCATATACCTTCTCAGACTTATTTTGATGGGCCACCCTTAATTTACAAATGTATTTAAGATCAGTCAAAACAAACAAATTATTTCTGTTCTGTTTGCTGGAATTCATTAAGGCAAATAAAAGAGGTTTCATCATTTTGTCTTATCAAAATGTGTAAATTGGGTTATTTATTCCAGTGACAACCATCGTTAGTTGAAAACATCGTATACGTTAGGGAAATATTTTGAGATGTGATTTTCTTCAGAGGAGCCAAATCAAGTAAACCAAAGTGGACGGATGGCGGACGACAAGTCTTATTGTTTGCTGTGAGGTTTTCGTTTTTACTTTTGGGCTGACTATATTTTGATGTTCGTTCATATTTTTACAGTAACTCACGACTGCAGTGTAACACTAATGCGACACTAACTAATGGATGTCGATGTGCTTGGTTTCATTAATCTGGGGTGTGTTACAGTGCAGCCGGTGGTGGAGGTAATAAACAGTGCTGGTAACTAGAGCTCTATGAGGCTATTCAAAACGTTTGACATATGTTCAAAATCGAAATGTCAGAAAATAGATTAGTTGAATTTGAATTTAATGTGTACCCAAGTATTTCTATAAAGTTTATAACCTTCTTTCATTTAATCAACGATCAACTTCCAGAGAATCTAATGAAAACACTTTTCCAACACTAAAACTGAAGCACTGTCTCTCAACGCGCGTTTCGCTAACCACATATTTGTAACATCGTGAAAAAGTTATCAAGAAAATAGGTGAAAGTAACGAGAATCCTTCATATACAGTCGGAAAGTTGATGAGCAGAGGAAAATTTGGCTTTCTAAACTGCTCGAACAAGTGTTGGGATTCTTGAAAGGGCACATGTTCAATTTCGTAGACCAGAGAAGTCTAATGTCCTTCAACATGCTTTAGAAATGGACCACACAATGAATGAGAAATACTAAAATTTTTGAGAACGATAAATGACGATAGGGTTTTAGACACCTTTGAAAGCTTGAAAATCGAAAAATTTTGAATGAGATCTATGAACAGCGACAAAGGTTCAATTCCAAACAGCCCATTGTCTACTCCATTATGTAATAGTTAGAGGTATTTATTAAATAAACAGGAATTGGGATACAATAACAAACACAAGTATCCCTATCAAGAACTAATTTAATGACTCTCATTACAATGGCTTCAATATCGAAAGTAATGGTTTATCCAGATTTATATGAAAACGTAGGGATAGGAAAAACGCGCATCGAGAGACTGTGCCCTATAGTTCTAGCGTAGGAAGTGTTCATTTTATCTTTCAAACCTCCACAGAATTTTGTATCGGTAATAATTTGGGTAATGTCTATATTCTTGCCTTCTCCAATAGAATTAATAAAGTTTCTATGATATATTCAGTTTGACATTTCCATAGTATGAAATACGAGCAGTTACCATCACTCAATAGTTGTGAGTGAGCTCTTGTGTGCTTGAGTGACGGCGTGTATTTTTTTCGGCGCGATACCCGGTTTATTTAGATAGCTGCGTAGATTTTTTGACACACTAGTTACTTCTCTAATCGCACATTATTACACTGTAAATCTGTATTACTAACTTACTTTTAAATACTTGAAATGTTTGTGAACTTGGATATACTTCATTTGGGGTAATTTTGGTAATACAAAGATGGGAATTTTAATTTTTCCAATTTTTTTTCTGATTCTCAGGGTTCATTTAAACATCATATCGTAATCTTATAAATCATAAGGTGTTAAAATGCATTTACCATAATAATTGCGAACAAAATTATATGTTGATTCAAAAATGTATATAGTGTTTTCTAATCCAATGAGTGCTATACAATGTATGAAGAGAAAAACATTCGGAAACTCAATAGATTTCGTATATATTGTCACCAGAAACGTGGGATGATTCTGAAGTCATTTATTTCAATCTTTATGCTTGAAACTGTGTTATCTGAACCCTACTGAAGTGAAGGACATCGTTAGGATAACTCGCGCATTTGCCTCATCCTGCCATGTTATAATTATTTTTTCCTACCGAAAATAAAAACTGATTATATCGACCATATCATGTCCATAGTTCATAAATCAGTCTTCTCATAAGTTGCATATCGAACGTTGTGTTCGATATATGAACGATGACAGTGCTAAGGCTATTTGCTATTGTTGCCCAGTAGTTCTTGATTGATGAGGTAAACATATCATGTAAATCTCGCTTTTATATTTTTTTATTAGAATCAGCAAGGTCCTATGATTTCATGATAAGACGTTTTTCTTATTTTTATATGCAACACTTCTAGCACGTTTAGGATT